TGACTCGATGACTTCAACGGGCCATGCTCCCCATAATTGGAAAAGTTTAAATTGAGACGAATAAATAGATGTTTCCATTTCAGACGAAGACATTTTCTATTTGTTTTACCGACTTGATGATTCGCTCGTTTGATACGAATTAACTTCAATATGAGCATTCAAATGGTTTTTTGTTATATTCGACGATTCGTATGAATAATACATTTTTCTTTTTTTTTTTTTTTTTCCTAAACAAAAAATAAAAAACAACACGAAAGTTATCAGACCTTTTTGTTTTATTATTCTAATTTTAAATATAAATAACATTTCACGCGTAAAAAAAAAATTATTTAATATTAATTCATTTATGAAGTAGAAAAAGAGAAGCATTAGTTTTTGATCTTTTTTATCATAAAGCATAATAAAATTGTTTTCTCAAATTAAGCCTTTAGTAAGATATCCCAGGTTTTTTTTAACAAATGATAAATATTAATATTTTATAATTATTTCACGCGAAAAAATTTTTCAAGCTTCTAAAATTTCAGTTAAATGACATTTAAACACCTAAAGTTAAGTTTTTATATTGTTTGAAATTAAAAAAATACGAATTGAGATTATTATCGCACTTCCAACTGACGAAACAATGTCAACCAACTATACATATTCTTCATGATCTAAAATAAAAAACAATAATAATAATAAAAAGGGACAAATTTACTGTCAAATTTTTGATAAATTTAAATTTACTTACGTTAACAAAAGCGTTCACGTTTAATTCAATAACTTTACCTGCAGTAAAAACTGCCGGATTTTGTGATCTGAGTATCACCATTTGAATATCTTTTTGTATATCAATATCCATTAAATACCAATTCGTCGAATAAACGGCAACACCTACGCTGTAACTCTGTAAAACAAAATTTTTTTTAATTGAATGAATTTTGTTTTCTTTTACAATTGTTTAAATAAAAATAAATTTTACTTGTTCGTGTATTTCGTTGGCTGTTAAGCAAACTAAAAACGTGTAAAGGGAAATGCTTGTCAAATACGTTATTAAATACGAGAGTTCGTAAAAAGACATGTCGTACATCTGTAAATACATAAATTTTTAATTAATTATTATGTATACATAAGTGAAAATAAAAGGAAATTTAATTAAATTTAAAACTTGCCAAGCATTGTATGGCACAGCCCAATATTAAAACGCTTATTAAAAAAATTTGCAAAAGTAAAACTTTATTATAGCACATTTCAAAACCTTTTGTGTACCTGAAAAAAAAAAAAAAAAAAAATTAGAAAAATTTATCTATGTATTTATTTTGACAGAAATTAAAGAAATAATAATAATAATAAACTTACTCTAAAAGTTTTTTTTGACGTGAAGCAATTTTTTTCAAAAATAATTTCGTTTGTTGTCTTCTTATTTCATTTTTTTTATTATGTAAAAAATCATCATTGTTTTCATCGTCATCGTCGTCGTCATCGACATCTTCATAAATATTATTTATTTTAGGTATATTATTCAATAGAATTTCATATTCTCTCGATATCTGTATGAGTAGACCGTACATGGCCATTTCCAATTCTATAACAAATATGAGTCCCAAAGTTGCACATATTGCTATTATTGCAAATTCGTAATCGTACGATAACATTGTACTCGAACTGAAATTAATTGGGAGTCGAAGAGGTATGGGTAGTACTTTTTCAACGTTGTTGTATTTGCATACGACCCATATGGGCATGAAAACAACGACCATGATATATAGGAATGTTCGAAAAGCTCTATATCGTCTTGATGCTTTCTCGTCGTATATTTTATCATCTTCATTTCTTGATATCGAATCGTTGTGCAAATTCAAACGTAAATAACGAAGCGTCGAATAATGCGTGTACAAATTAATATTTTTCACTATCGAACCGCTAAACAATGAAGATATGCATAAATTCCACGTTATTTTTTCCATACTATCCGATACCATGTATAAATCGTATAAGAGAGATAGTATTGCAGATATCGATATGAAACAAACGAATACTTGAAAAATAAAATAAAAAAATAATTTTTTTTTCGGAATTGGCATAGATGACCAAGCTCCCAAATAATATAATATAAGAAATGGTGTAGAATATGGTGATTCTTTTAAACCTGCCGACATTTTTACGACTGAAGAATAAAAATTAAATTTTATCGTGATTCCAATTAACATTGTCACTTTTTTTTTTTCGTTGAATAAATAATATCTTATTTTATTGTAAATTATTTATTTAAAAAATTTTAATATTTAACTGTCAAAGCTCACGATGATTATGACGTCAACGATCAACGTGATGATGATGATTTCTAATTTAATTTAATATGTACGATTCGTGAGAAAATTAAATTAATTAATTTTTTTTTTTTTTTACTTACAAGTTTTAATAATTAGTAGTTTTCTGATAAAGTATTAAATAGTGATCGAAAGAATTAATTATATTTTGTTTATCGTAATCAATTATTAATATTGAAATACTCGTGTAACGTAATTTATTATTGCAAAGTTAGACGGTTTCACTCGAGATTCATTGAAAAAATGGCGTTCATCGAAGTTTAACGAAATCCTCACGATCCTTTCTCATAAAAAATTTAATTTTTAACGTTTATTACCTTTAAAAAACATGAATATTACTCTGCGTATACATACCTTAAGCACAAAGTGACATTTTTAATTAATTATCTGCAAAAAAAAGTAATTACGCACAAATTTCACATTATTTTTGTTTTAAAAACTGCTAATAAGAATACTATCGAAGAATTGTCATTTCTAATAAGAATCAAATATGGCGTACGTTCGAAAAAATGTCGCAAAGTCAAAAAAAAAAATGTCGCAATATTACAAAAAAAAAACGTTACGTAATAATACGTTAAATGTTTTGAATAAGATTATTTTTAGCCGGCTGACATTTTTAAAACTGGTGAATGAAAATAAAATTTTTTTTGCTTTATTGTAAATATTACTGTATTTAAAAGTTTTTATAATTAGTAATTATCAATGTTTTATAGGAATATTAATGGTTTTTTTTTTTGCTTTATTAAAGTAAAATTCTTAAAATTTAAAATTAAATTTATTTATTAAGCAAAATACAAAATTTAATGAAATTCATTTTAAATTTATATATTTTAAATTTAGGCGCTTTGCTTAATTGCAAATTGACGAAATAATGTTAACCAGCTATAAATATTTTTCATTATCTGTGAAAAAATCACTTATTTAAACAAAAAAAAAAAAAAACTTATTAAAATTATTAATAATTTTATATCAAAAACTCACGTATTTAAACGTTTCTAAATCTATCGTGATGGCTTTGAACGATGTTATTTTTTGCGAGTTTTGCGACATTAAAATCATCAAAACGAGATCTTTTCGCACTGTATTATTCATTTTATACCAAGCCATGCTGTACAATGCCTGACCTATTTCGTGACACTAATAGAAAATTATAATTTAGTTAATTAAATTACAAAAATTATTTCCACACGTTTGACATAAAGGAATCGTTTAAACTTACTCTCGTATTTAATATGGTTCCCATTAAACAAAGTAGAAAAATATCATCCAAAACGATAACTACATATCCAACTTGATAAGCTAATTCGGCGGGAAATTCAATTTTTAACTGCAAAAAAAATTTAAAATTTGTAACAAATGATTTAATGTGCCCAAAATATACAATTTATTCTTACCAAAATGCTTTGAATTCCTATAGCAACCGATAAAACAGTTATCACCAATAATTGTACGAGAAGAGTTTTATTGTAACAATGTTCAAAAACTTTAATATATCTTTAAGAAATTAGAATTTAATTAAATTACTTTCTAAAAACGAAAAAAACAATTATTAAGGTATGTAATTATTATTATTACCCGTTAATTTTTTGCTGACGTGAACAAAATTTTTTTAATAAATTAACATCTTCCGTTTTTTGTAAAATTGGATTTATTACAACGGGGGATTTATCAAATTTATCCCGTTGAAATTTTTCATCTAATTTATCGACGTCGAATTTTAAATAATTATATTCTCTTTTTAATTGAAATAATATGCTAAACATGGCTAATTCTTGTTCGATGACGAAAAAAAGAACGCCGGTTGCTAAACAAGCTAACGCGATAAAAATAATGATAAAATAAATTTCATGACCCGAATTCAGGTTCCAGGGCGTGTAAATAGGTATGGGTAATAATCTTTTAGTTCCCGTTATCGACATAAATCTCGAAACCAACCAAATGGGTATGAAAAAATAAGCGCATGCGAAAACAAATTTTCTTAAATATTTCAATTGTTTTTGCGTTTCATCGTCTATGTAAGAATTCTCGTGTGATAATAAATCATCAAAAAGACTTTTCCTTAATTTATTTATTAATTCGCTATTGTGATAAGCCAACATTAATTTAATAGTTCCTCCCGCATATAAAGTTGTACCGCATAAATTCCACGAAACTTTTTTTAAATCGTTGAAATTTAAATACAAATCAATTATAAGTAATGCGATTGTTACAAATGTTATTAATAATAATACGAATTGATAGACTGAAAATAATTTTT